CTTGGAAATCTACTTTCTTAAAGTGAACTAACAGAAAGCATCTCCCCCCTGCAATTGTACCTCCCCACCTGGCAGGGGGACACCACCACATCTTTACAGGGCTCCCCAAGGTAATTGAGGACTGGGGTAAGCAGAAATGTGTGTGAATGTGACTCAGCGGTAGAGTACATGCCTTGTACAAGGTGAACCTAGGTTTGATACCCTCTGAAATTGAAAAAAAATCAATTTTCACCACATATTCATATATACTTACTGAATTTTGAGTCATATAAATGTGTTACATGCTCCAAAATATAAGTGCAATTTTATAAAGAAAAGAAATGAATGACAAATTTGTTACTAGAAAATAAAATTAAATGTCCTACATAACCAAAAGTGCCAAAGCAGATGGAACCAAGAAGTTGGTCACCTAGTTAAGTTAATTAGCCACTCTCTCTAACTTTCAAACTACTAAATTCAAACTGAGTGTTGTTTGCTTTGGTGTTTTTTTTTGTTTGTTTGTTTTTGGTCACACCCAACAGTGATCAGGATGTACTCCTGACTCTGAGTTCAGGAATCACTCCTGGCAGGGCTGGGGAGCCATATGGGACGACTGGGATTGAACCCAGGTCAGCCTCATGAAAGCGAGCATCCTACCCATTATACTATTGCTCCAGCCCAAGAGTTGACTTATTTTTGTGTGTGGGGCTAAAGGAAGTCATCAATCTTCCTCATCTATACCCCCCTACACCAAGAAAAAAGAGGGTCATTTTCAGCAAGACCTTTATTCTCTACAGCACAAATCCTATTAACACTGATGATCACAATGATTAAACATGCTGCAGTTAATACTTTCATTGATAATAACTCCTTTGGGAAAAAAAGTTCCCATCGCAACAGGTGAAGGCTCATCAAACTCAGCTTTTCAGTACAGTACTTGGAGTCACAAACCAAGAGAGATAAGACCGCCTTAGTATTAATCTGAAGACTTGGTTTCTGTTGCTCTGCTATTGTTTTTTAATTTCACTTGACTTCATCCATCCAAAAGATACAAGAGCCTCAATATAAGCCTGATACAGCAAACACTGCGGGGAGTGTGAGGAGTAGGAGAGTGAGGAGAAAGAAGACCTCAAAGAGTTCAGAAGACCTCAAAGATAAATCCCCCACCCCACCCCCCAATTACTGTCAGCAACCACAGAAAGAAATAATGACATTATGACGGTAATTCTACCCCTAAGTCTATAACCACACCTTGTTCTCACCACTAGGCTTGGTCAGTTTCCTAATCTTGTTTCATTTCCCATCTTCACACTGCAGCACAGCTGGGTTTCCAGCTGGCTGGGGAAGAAACGATGCTTTAAATAAACAGCATTTTAAAAATAAGCTTTTGCTATACTGAATTTTGCAGGCTACCTTTCTCTAATGTGAATACAGGAGTCAACACAAAACTGTCCTAAGGAACGTGAAATCCGCCATAAAACACTTTTTCCATCGATGACAACCCAGTACAACATACATTGCAAAACTGCCAATCAGAAAAGCCCCAAAGGCAAAATGATCTTTCCTTTACTCTGTTATCTACTGTGTCAATTCAACATGGAAACATTATCTAGGAAAGCAAGGCTTGAGGGTGTGAGTATACCAAAATACAGGCAGCCACTCTTTAAAATGCAGGATGCTTTTACACCATTGGCTGCTAACGTCTAAGATTCCTGTCTAGCTCTTTTTCTGCCTTTTCCACAGAAAGTACAGAAAACCCTTCCATGTAGGTAAACATCTGCGGAATGCAAGGATTTTATTCTGCTGTTTAGCCCCAGAGGTAATAATTTTGGAGGCCCAGAGTGATAGTACAGTGGGTAGGGCATTTGCCTTGCACGTGGCTGACCTGGTTCAATACCCAACACTCATATGGTCCCTTGAGTCCCACTAGGAGTGATTCCTGAGCACAAAGCCAGGAGTTAGCCCTGAGCAGTACTGAGTGTGGCCCCATAACAAAACAAAAAACAATCATTTTGTTCGAATTCTGGGAGGACTTCACAGGCTTCAAACCAACATTTCAGTAGTGGTTAAATTAGCCATTTATAAGGCCTTTTCAGGGAAAGGATTCAGTGTGACCCTGGAATTCATGCTCCTTAATATATGGGACAACTTTCCAGCACTATATACTACCTTGTCTATCTGGTACATTATGCCAAAGTCCTGGCCCACCAAAACTCCGCTTTCTAGATGCGATCTCACGGAACCACACCTCTCAGAACCCAGATACACCGAGACCTGAAACTAGCTAAACAAAGTACTGATTCAACCACAGTTGCTCAACATAACGGCCACGATGACAGTTCCCAAGTGCCAGTTTCCCTATTTTGCAATTGGGCAAGGCTTCTCCAAGGAGAAAATGTTCCCAATGACCCTGTGGCCCAGAGGGCTTTCTTTAAAGATAGAAAACAGAAAATGAGTTTGTTAGTTATTTCCTGCTGAGCACAAGGAAGGTGTTGTGGTTCCTTAGGGTGACTTTGTTTCCTTATTTAATATGCCATTACCTGTGCATGTTTTCTTTAACTTCCCAGTACAAAATAAAAAAATGTAGTTTGTGCTTTTCTGCTATACTAACACCCGTTCGACGAGTTTCTTCTACAAACATGCCCCTTAATTTCTACTCCTCTTATATAAAACCCCCCACTGACATGCACCTATAGTCTACCAATTAAAAGGGAAAAAATTGCATTGTAAAATGTTTATTTATGTTCCTGCTCCCTGATCATTTGTGATGTGGGAGGCCCTTCTCGTCAGTGTTTGCAGTCCTACATCTATCTCTTTGGGAACTGTACCACACACTATTTATCTATTTATTTTTAGTTTTAATTTTGGGGGGGCTCATGCCCAGAAGTGCCCAGGGATTATAACTGGCTCCAGGCTCAGAGGTCATTCCTTGGGGTACTTGGGGGAACCATGCCATGCCAAGAATCACACCTGGACCTCCAGCAGGGGAAGCCTGTGGCCAGCCCGTTGAGTTAATTCTCTGGCCCCACACAGGCTATTTTAATAATAAAAACCAGGATCTAGGAGGGGACTCTATTTCTGAGCCCCAAATCTCTCATAATCTCTACATTTAACTATTAATCAGCTAAACATGACATCAGACAAAGCTTAATTGATGGGGCAAAGTGAAAAGGAGGAAGAGGAGGAGGCAGGGAATAATTACTCTGTGAGCTGTTCTGACAATGACCATCCGGGCTCACTGGACCAGACCAGGGATTATGTGGTGAGATGTGCACTGAGCATATTCAGGAGCAACTCACCGAAAACCAAAACAGAAGCTGTCCTTGGACAAGGGTCAATAAATGTTTTTACTATTTCTTTCCCACTGCAGAATACAGGTCCACAGCTTCCCAAGGAATCTCAGAAAAAAAATACTGAATAAAATTTTTTTTAATTATACATGCTTAACTGGTCTCAATTTGTCATTATAAAACATTTCAGAGCATAAAACCAACATTTATGAGCTGGCAGCAATGTCAGATAAATGGCTGTAGTCACCAAAGTTTTTTTCCTCCTTAAAAAGACATTGCAAGATTCTTCTGATCTAAATGATTCCAGTTTGTCATAGTAGCAAGATAAACTCCCAACACTACACTCAAATGTGCTTCTTGAAGGAGGGAGTGAGGGGATGAGTTGGTGGGGGGAGCTTGGAGAGGAAGGGCGCTTCCCAATGTCAAGGGTGTTGGTTGATCTAGAAAGATGAAAGCAACAAACTTCCCGTGAGCTGTTACACACTCTTCACTACTTCATGGAGACTACTCAGAATCCGTGGGTAAACTGTTTAACATGGCCCGACTTCAGGACACAGATCACAACTCACTGATTATACAACTCAGAGAGTCACACAGCAACCACTGAACTCCACTGTAGTGAGGAACAAACGAACCCCCCAAATAAATAAGCACAAGGTAACAACTGGTTTTAAATGTCTTACTGAGAGCCACATACTGACTGGGCCCAGGGATTAGAAGAAAAAGCCCTTAAATGAAGATTTCTTTGACTCCTGACTTGGGAGACCTCCATTTTCAGCTGCACAGATCTATAGATTTCAATGTTTTGTTCCTAGTCACCTGCATTCCTGTGCAGCATCCCACATCAGAAGATGAGAGATGCAGTCTCTTTCATAAGATGTCAGAACTGAACTTCGAGCATTCAGTAGAAGTTACTCTAGTTCACTGGCATCTCAATCATCCGACCTAGTAAGACCTCCCAGAAACAGCCCAAAGAGGTGCCTGCTAATAGTTCTGGGGGTTCAGAGAAGGCTGTGCTGCTGGCTTAGCAAAGGCAGGCAATCACGATGAAGGGTGAGAGAGGGAGGGAGGGAGGGAGGGAGGTGGAGAGAGAGAGAGAGACAGAGAGAGATCCAAACTGGAAAAACAAGCCACATGGAGGTCAAAAAACAGTAGCTGAAAAAAAGTCTAACTCTGCCTGCGCCAGCAATGAAGATGGGGAGCTGGGAGCTCGGGAGAGGAAGGAGGAGCTGGTCACCATTCCCTGGGAAGAACTTGTAAGGGAGGCCCTTTAGGGCCTGAGAGTCCGCCCTGAAGTCGGCTCCTGCAGACCCTGCCAGCTAGGGCAAGGCGGGCGGGTGGGAGCCGCGCAGGCCAGGCCTCCGAGGGTCACTCCTGACTCACTGAGCCTTGGGCCAGCACCCCAGGACCTCTCGGTTCTTCCTGTCGCTACTGAGCTATGATGGCAGCTTTCCAGCTCCACATGCCATACATCAGCCGCAGATCCCCGCTGGCACAGGCCAGCGCCTCCCCTCCGCCCCCCGCCCCGGGCATAGTTTGAGCTTGATTCTTGTCCCCAACGCCAACCCTCCTCAACCCACCCGTGCCAGGCGCCCTGCCCAGGGGCGGCCCCACCCCTCAGCAACCGGGCGCCGCCAGGCCCGGGCACCTGCAGCACCTCCCCGCCCCACCCCCAATCGCCACCACCTCGCCCCTCCCCCCTTTCTCCGGCGGAGGGAGGGGGCGACTCACCGCAGTCCGTGCACAGGATCTTGCCCACCTCTTTCTTGAGGTTTTTGCCGTTGGTGTCTAGGGGGGCGAAGGCCGTCTTAAAGACTAAGGGCTGCTCCGTGGGCTCCAGAAAAAAGATGTAGCGCTGGTTCCTTTCGAGCGGCGCACAGGAGCCCACGCTGATCACCTGCTCGCGCTGCAGCCCCCCGCTCCGGAGCGGCCACTTGTCCAGCACCTTCACCAGCGCCACCCGACCCGCGGCGGGCGGCTCGCGGGTACTATTGGAGCTGGAGCCGCTGGCGGGGGCCAGCCCTTGTACCTTGCCCTCGACCACCACGGGTGCCTTGTACGCCTGGTCCTGCACCGACTTGAGGCTAGGCGAGTAGCAGGCAAGAGACACACCGAAGAGCAGCATGGAGAAGCCAGGGGCCGGGTCGCGCCTCATGCCGCCGGCGGCTGCGGCTAGCGAGCGGGCGGCGGCTCTCCGGGCTGCGGGGCTGCGGGGCTGCGGCTGCTGCGGCGGCCGCGGCTCTGGGGGCGCAGCGGGACGGGAGATGCTGCTGCTGCTGCCGCCGCTGCTGCTGTTGCTGCTGCTGCCGCTCTCGCTGCTGCTGCAGCTGCTGCTCCTCTCGCTGCTGCTGTGGCTGCGGCTGCTGCTGCTGCTCCTGCTGCTGCTGCTGCTCCTGCTGCTGCTGTCGCTGTAGGTGCTGCACGGAGCCTTCTCCAGTGGCGGCGGCGGCAGCGCTGAGCAGCAAACCTGCCGCATCTGGCCAGGCCATTTGGGGGGCTCCACCGCTCCGCCGCCGCCGCCTTGGGAGGGGAAACCTAGCCCGCTGGAAAACCGGAAACAGCGTAACGTTAGCGCCTCGTAGCCCTCCACCGGCAGCCCGGGGAGGTGGCCCCGCTAGGGCAGGGGGCAGGCGACAAGCGGGCCGCGATACGCAGCGCGGCGCCGCGCAGCGCTCCCACCAGGCGCGCCAGGACCTGGAGGAGGATGCGGAGGATGGCACGCCCGCCCACTTGCTCTCTCGCGCCCCCTCTCCCCTCGCACCGAATGTGGAGCGCGGCTTCTGCAGGGGCAGCTGGGGACTGCACTGCCCTGCCCGCCTCGGGGCCCGCAGGGGTGCGGGAGGAGTCGTGCTACCCTTTGCTCTGGGGAATTTATCTGCATGACAAGTGGGGGTAGCCGGCGAGGAGAGGGCGGAGTAGCAAGGACGTCTGATTCTGGCACCGTCCTATGAATGTGGGAGTGGGACAAGGGCGTGCCCCACCTCAGCCATCGGCGGCGGCTGGAACCGGGGAGAATGCCACCACCGCGGTGGCCGCGCCAGCCTCTGGCCTCCTGGCCTTTCCCTTCCCTGGGTGGACCCTCGACTCCCGGCCCCTTCATCGAGGCCCCCCGTGCTTGACCCTGCCACCGCCTGATTAAGCGCTGGAGATTCAAGTAGAGGTGAGGGACCGACCATTTGGGAAAAGAATTGGGTGTTGCATGGAGTCTTGACAGGGTGGTGGTTGGGAGAGGGTCCAGTCCCCCAAACTCTGGGCTTTCTCGGGCAGTCAGCGGGACAGAGTTTCACAGAGGCAGCCCCCCTCCCCCTAGCCACTCCCCGTGGGAGGTGAGAGCTGTTGGGGAGCCAACGTGAGAACCAGAGACTGTCAGGGCCAGAGTCTGAGCCACAGGAAAGGGTTTCTTTTTTAAACTCTCGTGCTTGCAGGAGGCGGGGGAGTTTGCTCACTGAAGTCAGCATCTGATTTTAAAAAGCAAGACCCTGATCCATTTAGCCTCCTATAGATACAGTTCCAGAGTGTTTACACGAGGCATTTCATATCCCTAAAGGAGTGGAGCCCAGGAATTCCAGAGAGATCTTGGAGAATTGGGGGAGGGGGGAACTGGGCACACCCTGCCATGCTCAGGGCTTACTCCTGGCTCTACACTCAGGAATTGCTCTTGGCGGGACTCGGGAACCATATGGGATGCCAGAGATGGAACCCAGGTTGGTGGTGTGCAAGGCAAATGCCCCACCTAATGTATTATTGCTCTAACTACCAATTTTCTCCCTGATTGGATCCCTGAAGGAAACTGGCCCAAGGATATTTGACTTCTGCCAGAGCTGCTATTCAGGAATGAAAGGCGAGAGTTCACTTAAGACCCTTCCTAGACGCATTAAGATTCACCTCAAGCTCATTAGGTCCAAAGCCAACTGCATTATTTCCTCTTAACCACTCCAGATTAGTCACAATTATTAATACTATACTTCCACTCAGCACAACCCATTAAGTCTTTTTGTCTCATCTTATTCTCCCTCATCCAATCAATCACCAATCCTGTGACTAACTTTAAATCTCTGACTTATTTATTTCCTCTCTGACTCTGCTGAATAGTTTCCATCCAAGAACTCCTCACCTGTCATTTGGACCGCCACGGACTCCTGACCTCCACACCATTTCCCTCATGGTCCTCCTCACTTCTATCAACCTACTCCCACCAGAGTGCTTTCTAAAATGAAATTTAAATATGATAGGACACTCCTCCTCTCTCAGGAGTAAAGTTTAGATGCTTCAGTGTGACTTTCCACAGTCTTCCGTCCCCTAGTCAACGCCACAGGGAGTACCAATTATTTACACGACTTGCTGGCCAAAGCACACAGACTGCTTCTTGGGGTTGACCTTCTGCACACAATGTCATTTGTATCCAAACTCACCTCCACCTTGCCCACTTAGAAAACTGTCTTTCCCCAACGTTCAGCCAGCATTTTACCTCCTTCTGATATATGCACCTCCATCCCCCACCACCATAGATGTGCATGACCCCTTCCCCCTCGTGTCCACATGCCTTACTCATGTTACTGTCACAGCACTGATCTATACTGTACTTCAAGTTGCAGTTATTGCTGAGATGCGTCTGCATTAAGCTCATCGGTCTAGGTACCTTAAGAGTAGGTCTGCTTAGTCTTTGGATCAGTATCCAAAGGCAAATTCAACAGAGTGCCTGGCAAAGAATAAGGACCAGAAAATCTTCAGAAGGTAGGAAGGAGGACACAAGCATTGAAAAGCAGCTCTCTTAAAGGCATCAAGCCTATTTTGTTGACCACTTCAAATGATCCCTTTTCATTTCTATAAAGCACAGATACCATTCATCACAAAACATCATTATGTGGGGGGCAAAGTGATAGTACAGCAGATAGAGTGTTTGCCTTGCATGCGGCTGACCCAGGTTTGATCCCCAACATGTCAAATGATCCCCCAAGCACCGCTGGGAGTAATTTCTGAGTGCAGAGCCAGGAGTAACCCCTTAAGCATCACTGGGTGTCACCCAAAAAACTAAATATATGTGTGTACATATATGTATATATATATATATATAATAAGGAAGATCACAAACTTCACTCTGTTGCTTTTTAAATAAATGGAATATTCTCAGGGAGGAAATGGGCATTACTTAAGTGCACATGAACCAGGCCTGTATTCAATCTTCTATTACAGAGATCAGAGCAGTGGTGAAGAACTCAAGCTCTAGCATCAAGTGGAGCTGGGTTTCAAGCCAATTTTCTAAATTATTAAACTTTAGGATAAGTCTATTGCATTCTCTAGGCCTTAGTCTCCTTACTGGTATAATGAATATAGTAATAGGATCTTCCACATAAAGTTGGTTCTTGATCATTACGTACTGATTAGACAAATATCCTACCAAATGGCTTCTATGGGTCTGACATCAAGGCAGTATACCAGTCACTGTGTACACTCAGTGAGTCAAATTGACTCTGTCCCAGCTCTCAGAGCACATAGAGACAAGTATAAGCCAGTAGACAAATTGTTAACTCATTACTTACAGAGATGCACGTCCTCAAGGAAATAAGCAGGATAAAGAGATAGGAAATAATGGGAAAGGGAGAAGATAGGCCCTCTTGGATAAGGAAAAGCTTATCTGTGGAGATAACATTTAAACAGAGACTAAATGGATTTGAAAGATGCAGAATATGTGCAATAAATACAGTGCTTAGAACAATGTCTAGTGCCCAATAAGAGCCAAAATTAATGTTGAATATGATTGATATTTTCCAAAGACCAGCAGTTCCTCACCTAAGGATGAAAAAGTTAAAACTAATGTGTAATCATAGCCTGCTACATTTTCTGTACATTACAAATTCAGTGCTTGGGGCAAAGGGTGGCGGGCAATGGGATGGCTTAAAGAGCTGAGGCACATGTTTTGCTGTGAGAGTCCTAGATTTGAACTTCTCAAGTACAACTGGGAATGCCTCACAAACACACCACCAGTAACATCCCTGAGTACCACCTGCTGAGTGACTCCCCTAAAAAATGCAGTGCAAATTTTCAATAGTAGGTGTTCTTGTGATGAATAAAAATACTTTCTTGGCCAGGGTTGTAGATCAGGATAGAGCATTTTCTTTAAATGTATGAGGCCCTAGATTCTGTCCCCAGTACTGTAAAAGCAAAATTTAAAAAAAAAACACCCCCTGACATTTCTCTCTCTTTCACATATTCATTTTAGTGTATAACAATACATTGAGTGTGAAGAAGAGAACAAGGTAAAGAAGTATGTGGCAAGAAATGATACTGCTTTTTCTTTTCCTAAAGGATAAATATACAGGGTCAAAGAGATAGTACAGTGGGCAAGGTCCTTGCCTTGCTGGTGGCTGGACCATGTTCAATCCCTGTCACTGCATAAAGTGCCCTGAACCCTGCTAATAGTGATCCCTAAGCATAGATGAGTGTGTCCCAAAAAAACAAACAAAAATAAATACATAAATATGTATAGAGTATAGGTTACCTACCTTTGAAAGGATACCACAGAAATGGAAACTTTGGATACTGGGGAAGGTCACTGGGTGACTGAGAAAGGAGATGCCAGGATATTTTTTCATAGTGCTCTCTTATTCCTGGCTTAGTGGTCAAGAATCACTCCTGATGGGGGTTGGGGGGCCATGTGTAGTATTAGGGATCGAATTCTGGCAGGCTATGGTGCAAGGCAAGTGTCTTACCTGCTCTACTATCTCTCTAGCCCCAAGTGCTCCCTTTCTTACCTTGTGAATTTACTCTTACTGAACTTTGGGGAGGTGAACCTTTTTGAATTTTGCTGACCCTGGTGATGCTGGGAGCTACTCCCAGTGTATGCCTGGGGGAGGAGGACAATGAAGATTGAACCTGGGGCTCCCAACTACAAAGCATGTGCTCCAACATTTCCATGCCTCAGCAACTTTGAATTTTACACTTTGAAGAGACTTATGAAGGTATAGGAACTTGCTCAGATGTTCGGCAGAGTTGGGCTTCCAACTTGGGTTTCCTACTGCCAAAGAGCCAGCTTTGTATAGACCACCACTCAGAATGAGAGGTAGTCCTCAGTTCACTGCATTGTCATTTGAAGTCTCTAATCTCTCTAAATTCCTCCCACTAATGCTGTACAATTTGAAATTTATAACATGAAGCATCAGTGGCATAAGCATAATTTCACAAAATTATAAAAAAATCAAGATACCGAATTAAAGCAACTTTCCCAAGATCACAAAACTACAGAAAAAGGCCAAAATGTATCATAATTTCAAGCTCAAAAACATGCTCCAAGTACTATTTTCATCATAACATTAATATAGAAAGGTTTGAGTTTTGGCGTTTTGGTGTTTCTTCGAGTTTTTTCCTATTTATTTATTTATTTATCAACATAGCTGTTTATTTCATCTTTATTTACAAATAAAAGTATTAAATATTTATATTTAACAGGTGTGATCACTTGATATAGGCATATGTTGTGAAAGGACTTAGCACATCCATCACCTAATATATTTACCTCTTTTTATTTCAGTGAGAATACTTAAGATCTGTTATCTTAGCAAATTTCAACAGTCAGACAGTATTGTGAACTATAGTCATCCTAGTAGATCTTAGAACCACATTTATTTGGCATAGGGTTCCTAAGCAATGTTTGGGGACCCAGGGTCTCTTCCTGGTGAGTCTCAGTCAAGTGAGCCATTGAGTTGACTCTAGACCAAAGGATGCTGGGCACTGCAGGGCACAGGGGTCAACCTCATAGCACTGAGGGTGCTTCTAGTGGGGGTATCATGTGCTGCTTCGGATTGATCCAAGGAAGGGTGGGAGCTTCACCAGAACCTGAAACCCTGT